ACAATTTTCTGTGTCCTAATTGTGGTGGTAGTTACAAGATTAATACATTTTTAAAATTGTATCAGTTGTACACTGAAAATGAATGTGTTTTATCCTATGTAATTTATACCTCAATAAAGCTTCTTGTTAGAAATGGATAAAGGAATGTGTTTAGATTTTTTTTTCTCAATTGACCCAAGATGTATTGTTATAGGAGAAAAGCCAGTTATGAGTTAGCAAAAAGTTCGTTCAGGTTTTCCAGTAACAATTTAGAGAAAAAAATCTGAACAAACTTTTTGGACAACCCAATATGTAGTAGCATATGTGGTATGATCACCTTTAATGAAACAACACTAAAAACCCCTCTATATGTATCACTGTTTATCCCTGTGTAGCTCTATATGTGTATCCCTCTGTGTGTCTAGTGATGTTCACAAGCTCCTGGATAGTCTTTCGCAGAAGAATACACACTAGACTGTAACACTTGTTACATCATGGGGCTAAGAAGAGGAAGAATATTACAGTTTTCTTTATACATCTTTGGATGATTTCATGTTTTACAATGAACACCCGTTATTTTCATGATGAAAATAAGGGAGAGGATATCAAACTAATAGGGGGATGTGTATGTAGGAAGAACTCTGGTGGGGGAGGAGCCCACCACGTCCGTACAGGGGTGGTCATTAAAGTTGACAGAAAAGGAGATCTTTGGTAACCTCTGAGAGAGCATCTGATTAGTGGGGTTGGGGCAGAAGTCAGGGTGTGAAGTGTGGAAGCAAAGCGTGGACTGGAAAGAAAGGCTTTGTGAACCACTTGTTGAGTAAGTTTGGTCATACAAGGCAATTTAACAAGACAGTTAAGGGAGCCACAGCATTAACTGGAGTTTTTTGTGAGAAGAGGAAAAGAATGCTTGTAGCTTCTTGAAGGCCAAGAAAAGAGAACCAGTGGACAAGAACTGACCAAAACTGTTAAAGAATGCTATAAAATGATGATGAGGGGAGGTGGGAGGGGAAGGGTTGCAGGGACAGAAGTAAATACTTCTCATTTCCCTAGAATTCAGGTATGTTTCATTCACAGTTGTCATAGACCTAGGAACGCACCTTTCCCAACCCCTGTCTTAGTCTAAAGAGCTCAACTTCCTAACAGGAAACTGGGCCCTGATCTGGAGCATCACCTATGTGACCTAATGCAGATCACTTGGGACCATACAGAAAGCTGAGCGCTGAAGAATTGATGCTTCTGAACTGTGATGTTGGAAAAGACTCTTGAGAGTCCCTTGGACTGCAAGGAGATCAAACCAGTCCATCCTAAAGAAAATCAGTCCTGAATATTTATTGGAAATACTGATTCTGAAGCTGAAGCTCCAATACTTTGGCCACCTGATGCGAAGAGCCAACTCATTGGAAAAGACCCTGATGCTGGGAAAGATTGAAGGCAGGAGGAGAAGGGGACGACAGAGGATGAGATGGTTGGATGGCATCACCGACTTGATGGACATGAATTTGAGCAGGCTTCAGGAGTTGCTGATGGACAGGGAAGCCTGGAGTGCTGCAGTCCATGGGGTCGCAAAGAGTCGGACACGACTGACTGAACTGACTAGGCTTTGTAAGCCTCCATTTTCTCATTGGTAAAGTGGGGTAAGTAATAGTACCTACCTCATATTGTTGCTGTGAGATAATGCATTCAGAGAGCTTACATTGCCACTCACTGCTTATCTGGGGGCAGTCTCTCTGACCTTCTGTGGTCCGGCCCATGTCATCATGATGTCACAATGCCCTACTAGTCTCCAGCTTCTCCACTAGAGAGTTGTGGATGCTTTGGAGCTAAGGACTGAAACTGACATGAGAGACCTCTACCAACTGAGGGTTTCATGAGCACACTCCTTTGTCAAGATCTTGGTGAATAGTCTTTCACTGTGCAATCGTGTCTTAGAAATTGTTCTACTTGTTATCATGATCGTGCTTGGCTGGATGCTTTTTGTTGGATTTGCATGTTACTTGGGCACATTTCCAGAGTTTGTGGTAAGTAATGACCTTGCCTGTTAATTCTTCATAGTCAGTCTTGGCTCTGGCTCACCCTCCCAGCTGGGATTTCTGACAAAACAGGAAAGATGGTTGAGGTCTCACCACTAATAAGAGGTCAGGATGTGGTGGGAACAAAGTTAATTTCCCAGGCTACTTCCCATCCCACTGGGACATCTTTAAGCCTTTACCCCTCCCCTTCGTTACTTAATACCACTTATTTCAAAGCATGATGGAGTCTGTAAGGGCTCTGCTAGAGGCATTGCCTGACTTCTGGATTTCAGGCCAAGTGAATCAGTGATTGCTGGGAGGAAAGGGAATGTGGGTATTGGTGGACGTTTCAGCAGCCCTTCCAGTCACATACAGGGGCAGTTACCTACTGGGACAATGAATAGGGCCAACTCTGCCTTTAAGTTTCTTTTTGCCTCAGCCTCCAACTCTGAAGTGGAAAGAGAGATGGGTTGTTCAGGAGAGCAAGACACACCTGAGGAGCCAGACTTTGGATGAAGATCTGCAACTGTGAGTGACTGTGACGGTCTGTTGAGCTGGATTCCTCCCTTTCAAGACAACTTGATGGCACTCGGAAATGTCAATGGAAAGTTTACTTTCCTCTGGAAAATAAAATGAACTGTGAAATGGGAAAGAATTTGAGGAGCACTGCTGAGGACAGCAAGCCCTGGTTCAAAGATTTGTTAATAACTATACCTCCTGGGTATTCTTTTCAATGACTGTTCCACCTATTATTTTTTCCATGCAGACTCTATAATAAATTAGACCAGCATTTTTTTTCATTTATTTTTATTAGTTGGAGGTTAATTACTTTACAGCATTGTAGTGGGTTTTTTCATACATTGACATGAATTAGCCATGGCTTCACATGTATTCCCCATCCCGATCCCCCCTCCCACCTCCCTCTCCACCCGATCCCTCTGGGTCTTCCCAGTGCACCAGGCCCAAGCACTTGTCTCATGCATCCAACCTCGGCTGGTGATCTGTTTCACCCTAAATAATATACATGTTTCGATGCTGTTCTCTCTGAACATCCCACCCTCGCCTTCTCCCACAGAGTCCAAAAGTCTGTTCTGTACATCTGTGTCTCTTTTTCTGTTTTGCATATAGGGTTATCATTACCATCTTTCTAAATCCCATATATATGTGTTAGTATGCTGTAATGTTCTTTATCTTTCTGGCTTACTTCACTCTGTATAATGGGTTCCAGTTTCATCCATCTCATTAGAACTGATTCAAATGAATTCTTTTTAATGGCTGAGTAATATTCCATGGTGTATATGTACCACAGCTTCCTTATCCATTCGTCTGCTGACGGGCATCTAGGTTGCTTCCATGTCCTGGCTATTATAAACAGTGCTGCGATGAACTTTGGGGTGCACGTGTCTCTTTCAGATCTGGTTTCCTCAGTGTGTATGCCCAGAAGTGGAATTGCTGGCTCATATGGCAGTTCTATTTCCAGTTTTTTAAGAAATCTCCACACTGTTCTCCATAGCGGCTGTACTAGTTTGCATTCCCACCAACAGTGTAAGAAGGTTCCCTTTTGTCTACACCCTCTCCAGCATTGATTGCTTGTAGACGTTTGGATAGCAGCCATCCTGACTGGCGTGTAATGGTACCTCATTGTGGTTTTGATTTGCATTTCTCTGATAATGAGTGATGTTGAGCATCTTTTCATATGTTTGTTAGCCATCTATATATCTTCTTTGGGGAAATGTCTGTTTAGTTCTTTGGGCCATCTTTTGATTGTAGACCAGCATTTTTAATGCCCCTTTTGGCAGATTCTGAAACTTGAGTTAATGTAAATTTGAGTTCAGGTTCTAACTTTGCAACTTACTGGCTGTATGACCTTAGGAAAGTTTAATCTCTCTGAACCTCAGTTTCTTCATCCATAGGATGGAGATATTCCAGTCTCTTTCTGTTTTTGTGAGAATTACACTTGGAAATTCATGTGAAGCATTTAATGCAAAACTTGACAAGTTAGTAAATGCTAACTTTAAGTAGTAAATGCTAACTTAACAACTAGGCCAAATAATGAACTAGTCAACAGACTTACTGGTGACTATGACCTTACCTACTTACCTAGGGCCACAAAAACCAACCCATTTGTGAAGCTGAAACATAGATCTCTGGACTTAATACCTCTCTCATACATTCCACTTGACCAGCCTGTCTATAGGAAACATTAGTAACAGTGTCCTTTTAGCAAACCATCTCCTGGGTTTCTTGAATCCCACCCCCATTTCATTCAGACTGGTTTTTTCAAAGATGTTCCCATTGTTAAAGAAACTTAACTCTTAAGAGTCTTAATATTATAATTTGCAATTACAGGAGCAGGTTTTCTGAGCAGCTTCTCCAGAAGGCTTCAAGAAGGGTATCCAGGGCTCCAGAAGGGTATCAAGCAAGTCCCAGCCCTAGGTATCCTAGGAGCAGGCCATGATGGGGTTCTTGTTTTTCGCCTATGCTCCAGAATTTTTATGAAAGTATCAGCCCAACAGTCAAACCTGTGCGGGGTGGGGTTGCAGGTGGAATCACTGGGCACCTATTTAGCTTGAACCGCTGCCACAGTGCGATCCTGACCAAACCACTGACATTGTGGGTACCTCAGTTTTTCCAGCTATGAAATGAGAAGAATAGCCCATCTTCCTCCTCTTCCCTTCTCAGGAAAGTCAAGAGGAGGCTTTCCCTGCATGATGAGGGTTTAACTGTACCATTTCTCGAAATGCAAGACTTTTCTTCTTTGAGTAGCCTAACAGTTATTCAAGTTATTTATTTTTTTGGGGGGGGCAAGAATACAGGAGTGAGTTGCCACTCCCTTCTCCAGGAGATCTTCCCGACCCAGGAATTGAACCCAGGTCTCCTGCATTGTAGGCAGACGCTTTACCACTTGAGCCACCAGGGAAGTCTATTCAAGTTATAAGTAATTGCTTATAGTGTACATAGCTAGTCACTTCTCCCCATTAATCCATAGTGTGTGTTTTGTTCACAGCAATGCCTTGTGCATCTAATTGCATAAAACAGGTAGCCAAACTTTTGGCAGGTGATGAGTTGATAAGATGCCAGCTAGATCCTAACCACACAGTCACCAAAGAACAGGGCCCTCCTACTCAAGAGTTCTTTAGCCCCTACACACCTGACATCCTGGCCAGCTGTCCCATACCTTCTCACTCTGACTGGTCCTCAAGGTCACAAGAGTTGATGTCACAATTGGTGTCTGAGCTCTGCCTACCAGATAGCCATGGCCAGCCACTTCAGGTCAAACTAGACCACGAAGCTCCCCAGCCAGGAGCTACCATGCTGGACCATCCACCATCTGGTCTTGCATGAAGACAGCCCAGTTTCCAGGGCTCGGAATAGAACACCAGACCTTTCAGAACCACCTGTTGCGCTCTGCACATACCACCAGCTAAGAAGCCCTGCAATGATTGTTGTCTTATGGATGCTTCTCATTGCAGGAACAATGTGGAAGGGCTACAGATATCCCCCAGGAGGGGTAAGTGTGCCTTGAGTTTTGTTCTCTGTTCCTACTTTGAAAATGTGTTCCCTGGGATACATGAACCAAGCACAAAAATCCAGCTTTAGAGACTCTCTCTTTATTTTAAAAAGTTACTGTAGCATACCTACTTCTATTGTTATTCAGTTATCTGTTTAGAGTTGAGAAAGTTCCCTGTGTCTTTCATGTGATCTTTTATACATCTTTTCCTGAGTCTTTACTCTTAAGTTCTTTAGTGTCTTTCCAAAAACAAAAAACTGGAGATACAGAGGTAAAGATATTTCAGGCCCAGCATCAAAGCTGTCTGACAGGCATGACCTCTTTTCATACCTATGGGACACTTCATATGCTGTGCCTTCAATTTCCCCTTCTTAAATTAGCCCACATCAGCAACCCAGGCTTAACTGTCCCTCATCACATAAACACTGGGTTGTAAAACTGTCCTGTTGGCAGATGTCTTTCCTCTCTTCTTAGACCTTGGATATTTGTGTTTTCTCTACCACTTGTCTGCTCCCACACTGCTAAGTCCCAGTGGCAGCTGGGCTTGGAGGCATTAGGTGAGACAGAATGGGACACAGCTAGTCCTGCCTGCCCTTGGGAAGGAGGGCAGTTCCCTCAGCCCCACACCCTAGCCAACACTAGTCAAGACCCACCTGACCTCCTTTTCTCCCCCTAGACCCCAGTGGAAATAAGCAAAGATGATCCTGGTGAAGTGATGCAGCTCTGAAGCTTTCCCACCCAGCTGTACAGTTCCTGATGGTGTCCCATATAAAGTAATTGCACATTATTTTGTCACACTTTATGTAACAAGTTACCACACTTTTAAAGATGAATGAAGACTTGGTATTGTTAGCTCAAAACAGGGAGATGGAGGGTGGGGAGGTAGTTGCGGGGAATGGGAGGGATTGGGTCCCCTGTTTAATAATCCATAAGACTGGCATTAAGACTGGCATTACTAAGAGATCCTTAGTAATTCAGTACCCTTGAGGAAATTCTGCAGAGCTCTTTAGATCTGTTTCCCACATAGTACCTTTCTCCTGGGTCCAAGGACTAGGGTCCAGGCAGAGGGGAAAAAAAGTTAAGAGACTGCAGCAACTTTAAGCCTGTACTCTGGGTGGGGCTATTTGTCTGTGGCCTTGGCACAGCTATCATTAAGAACCCAAAGTTTACACCATATGGGGAAAGGGGATTTTAACATTGGGTGCTAGATACTAGTTGGTATTTTAATCCTTATAGTAACCTTCTTAGCCACTTTTTACAAAGTGGCAAAAATGAAGTTGGGAGGCTTAAGTACTTTACCAACCCACACGGTTCTGTGTAGCAGAGATTAAGATCCAGGCCCTCTCCTTGGCATGCTCTTACATGCCAAGGAAAAGAGCTGAGCAAGAGAGACTGGGTTTTCCAAGATCTTGACCACCTTGGTTCAAATGTCCTCCTCACCTGAATAGCCCGGCGGTTGCCTTTGCTTTTAGCAGTGACCGCTACTGAGCCCGGCAGCATGGGTAGAAACAAAAGCTAACTGCCCAGCCCTCGACAGGATGCAGTTTTGAGTTCATGAGACCCAGAAAAGGTTCCCATTCTTGTATATAAGACGCATGCTATTAATCTGGGTGTCTGAGCCTTAGGATATTCGTAATAAGCCCTCTAAAAGTGGTTTGAGCTTTCTGACCCTAAAAGAGAAAGAAAATCTAAAAGGAGCAAATACTTTTAAATTACATGGAACTGCTCCCATTCTATGGTTGCTTGGGTATGACTGACAGTTCCATTGTTCAAAAGTGCACCGTTTCCAACAAAGTACCTTTTGGTTATACAGACAGCATTTTGTTAATGACTATAGTATATGCTTGCTAAAGTATTTTTAAGTGCCTCTATACACTGCATGGCTTACCCTTTTTAACAGAACAAGTGAATTCAAAATTTATATGCAGAAATAGGATACTAGTATATTTTATACTTGTATGAACTAGAGTCAATACATTACACTGAGTGCATACATTCTCTGGGTGCATGGCTGCACCCACTTGCCTCATATATTCCTAAGGACTCATCCTCCCAGCTATCTCAGGCTCTTTTTATTATAGGGGATCAGAACTGCTCAATTTCTTGAAAAGAAGTGCTATATACCCGGTTCTTCTTCCCTTGTTCCCTGACTATATCTCCAAACTTGTATGTCTGATACCAGAATAGTTCTCTAAGCTGGTGGGGCGAGAGGGAAGAGGTGTCAGTGGCAGGGGCTGAGCAGACAAGAATGTGTAAGGGGGAAGGAACAGAGGTGTGTGTGGGGGGTGTGTGTGTAAGGAGGTAAACCCTTCTCTAAGTCTGATGAGTCTGCTGGGGTTTCTAGCTGGAATAATATTCGGGTGATGAAATAAGGAATATGAGTTTTGTTAAATAAATGCAAACCAGTGAAAATATCAATAAAATATTTTTAATGCCTACAATTTCTTTTATACATAATTGCAAAACTTTTATCTGTAAATGCAAAAGTAGATTCTCTTGCAGGTCAACAGCACCAGAAAACAAGCTATGCTGGGTAAACGTTTCTTTAAACTTGATTTGTCCATTATGTAAAAGACATGGATTTAATAACTTCAAAGAAATCTATATCCCACTCTTAATCATACACTAACACCTGAATATTTATGTCATCACATCCACTCACAAAATAAATAGTAGTCTAATATATTCAGCACATTGAAAATAAAACAACCAGTCTCTCTCTATATATTTATTCTCTTTCCAAACATGTTTTGGTCTCCTGTTATACCTCAGAAATGTACTAATAGCTGCTTTTAAATTATAAAATACAAAACAGTAATTTATTTCTTGGAGAAGATCTTGGGGATTACATTTAAAAAATGAAATTTGGAGTTTCCATAGACTTTCTTGATAACAGTGTTTGAACCTTCTCACGGCACACATGTAAGGCTGCCTGTGACATGTGGTACCCTGGCCTCCAAATGGACATAACTGCATTTGTAGTTTAGAGAAAATACAAAGACAAGTTCTGAAAGTAGCTTTTAAAGAAAAAGTGCCCCCTGCTTTAATATAGCAACATCTAAAGCAAGTAGGACTGTGCAATCAGAGCTCTATTGAGTTTTATGAAAACTACTTTCCCTTCACATCGTGTTTGAGAATGCTGCATCCATGATCATGTAACATTATTACAATAGTGAAATAACATTACTACATTCATGACTTAACATTACCCAATAAAAGGCACATCTTCAAATATTAATAAAATCTGAAAATCAAAACAGAGGATACATTAAAAATCAAGCACTTAATTTGTAAACCTTGATAAAATAACAGCCTATTCCAGTTCCTTTAAAGATTTGTGAGCTGTTTAAGAGTGGTCAGGAGTTGCAGAACAAAGTGGAAGACAGGATTTGGAACAAGGCTAAGATTAAAAGATTCAGGACCTTTTTTTTTTTTATGAGCTACATACAGAAGTGCTGTTTTATAATGTTGATGCTAAAGAAAACTGAAAACATCTGTATCATAGCAAAATGCAACCAGAGTGATTACATGTAAGGACTTCTTCTACCAAGTTCTGTAATTTTAGCTAGCACAATGGTGCCTTTCTGTACAAGTAACTGCACAATATCATTGAGTAAAGTGCTAGTAAGCTTTAAGCCACCAGAAATCTTTCAGCTACGACAAGCACTTGATTGTAATTACATATTTCAGAGTCTGAATATTAAAATATATATATATATATTCAAGCAAACTTGGGAAGGGGAAAAAAATAAATCACATAAGGGACAGCAAAGGAAATAATGTTCCAAACCTGTTTTATTACATGGAATATCACACTACTCTTGAGTCAGTAAAAGTATTTAAGATAGGTGAGAGGCAGTCTACAGGCTATTCTGCCACCAGTGTTTTAACAGTTATATGTGATCATTAATAGTGGTTATCTATAACACTCCATTGTAGAGAAAAAGCAAGCTCTATAGATAAAAAAAAATACACAAAAACAATTGCAGATCTTTTGAAGAGTAAATCTGCTTGTAGGATAACCTCTCCTACTTCCTGATCCCCACTGACGGATGGCTTAGGACAGCCACAAGGTTTATTGTAGAATTTTCTGCAAGCTTATGTCTCATTGTCCCCAGTCCTCCACTCAGAGTCAGGGACACATGCTCTCGGCATCATCACACCTCATTTTCTATGGCTGACCTTCCTTGAGACTTGGCTTCTCTCCACCTGGAACCTAGGTCAGCCTGATTGGAATTGCTTGGACTTGAGCTTAAGAGATATAACAAGTCTATTGATACGACTTGAAGAAAGGTAAGAATGAAGACATTCCACAGCCTAGTAAGCACGGTAACAGGGAACATCCTCTCCTACCTGGGAAAAAATCTCTTCACAGTGCATAGTTTGAAATAAAAGTGCAATATGGGCAAAAAGAGAAAGTGGTGGCCTTGATACACATGAATTTAGTTTTTGGTTTTTTACCATTAATCGCTAAAGAATTTAAGATAAAAATATAGTTATCGACACAAAAAGGTAAAGGGCACCTTGAATTCCAAATATCCTTACAATGCGGAGTGGAATGAGGCGGAGGGGAGCCTCACATGTCACTTCCTTACGTTTGAAACTATTACTCTTCCAAATCTAATGTTTGAATAAAATAAGTGTTCTTTCTTCAATATAAAAATGAAACTTTTAGATAAAAATCAAACAGCACAGTGACCTTGTCTATTTTACACCAACAAAAAAGTAAATCTGAAAGTAAAATCTGGAAGAGAATATTCTTAAACAAAAATGGCATAACTTGTATTTTAACTTGGAAAATTCTGTTAATTGCCTAATCACCTAAATTAGTGAATAAGAATGCTCAGCATCCAATCCATGAATAATGCAGAATACAATTTATTCTACTTTTTACTTCAAAGTCACAGAAATGACATCCATATAATTGTAACACCTACTCTACATTTTCAAGTTCTCAATCCAAACATAGAGATTAGGACTGGTCACTTTATTGCTGGCAGCATTCCTGGAAGGGCTAGGTTCCTCATCAAAAGACATATTTGACTGGGAGCCAGGCAGCGCTATACTCACGCATCAGAATTATGGAAGTAAAGGAACAATCCTTTCTTTTCCTTTTTAGAGTAGCAAAGGAATACAAGATTGGCTGAACTGTGAGCGGCCCCACATGAGAGTGCATAGCTCATGAGGATCAAGGCTGGCTCCTGTGAATAGTTAGCTTCGTAAGAGCACTCACTGGGCATTATGTCATCTGCATTAGGATTTCACCCTGCAAAGTATGTGAAAATACTTTATGCTCTAATGACAGCCTGCAGATAGATGATAGTATGCATTCCTTCTCCTTGAGTACCCAACTAGAATTCTAAAATGATAAGGGGCTTCTTCAGTCTGAAGGCAGGACTTCCTTGCAGCAGTCTTCAGAAGTTCACAAAAATAAAAGCAGCAGCTAACGCTTCTTCAGCTTCTTGGCCTTTCGACGTCTCATTTCTTCTTCTTCACGTCTCATCTCCTCTAAATCTTCTTGCATACCTAATCTTAAGCTGTCAGGAAAAAAAGCAGGTATTTGTCAATATACATGAAATTATCACATTCTTTAAAAAACAAGACTGAAATTTCAACTGGGAGCTTACGTGGAATGCACTGATGCACTAAAAAGGCCTCAAGGCTTTACCAGTGAAAACAAGACTAAGCAGGAATATTTTTTTACTAGGAGCCACTGCCTCAAGTTATAGTGGAAAAAAGACCTATTACTCAGCCATTATAAAGAATACATTTGAATCAGTTCTAATGAGGTGGATGAAACGAGCCCATTATAGAGAGTGAAGTAAACCAGAAAGAAAAACATCAATACAGTATACTAATGCATATATATGGAATTTAGAAAGATGATAACAATGACCCTATATGCGAGACAGCAAAAGAGAAATGTAAAGAACAGACTTTAGGACTCTGTGGGAGAAGGCGAGGGTGGGATGATCTCAGAGAATAGCATTGAAACATGTATATTATCAATTGTGAAATAGATTGCCAGTCCAGGTTTGATACATGAGACAAGTGTTCAGGGCTGGTGCACTAGGATGACCCAAAGGGATGGGATGGGGAGGGAGGTGGGAGGGGGGTTCAGGATGGGGAACACATGTAAATCCATGGCTGATTCATACCAATGTATGGCAAAAAACACTACAATATTGTAAAGTAACTAGCCTCCAACTAATATAAATAAATGAAAAAAAAAAGAAAAAAAAAAAAAGAAACAAAAATAAAGAAAAAAGATCTTACATACAACTCAACAGAAAACATCTGAATATTCCCATTACACTAATAAATATAAATGATCTCATCAGCTTTAAAAAATAAAGAACGAGAAACATTTATGCAATAGATAAGATTCTATTCTTGTCTCTTCCCAATACTCTAGTTTGCTATTTTATCTAGTTAGAGGACAGAAGGCAAGAGGGAAAGAGAGGTTTAATATTTGGGTTGAGAATGAGGTGAATTATTTCACCAAGTTAACACTATAAACTAAGTAATCACTTGTTACCCCTACACAAGAAATGATTATTTGTTTGATAGCCAAACAGGAATCCAACATCAGGAATATAATGTCCCTCATCAGGTCCTTGAGTTCAGTGGCAGTACAGGTCAGCAAGACTGAGATGTATCTCATGTGGACAGGGAATTAAGAATGGGAAAAGAAAAATAAAAACATGCAATAGCGGGATCTGGGGAGCTCTCTAGCATTTACTGTGTGCCTACACGGGTGAGGTGTTCCATGCGCAACATGCACACATGATCTGAATCATGTACATTCCCAGTTTACAAATGGGAAAACAGATTTAAAAGGCTAATTTGTCTGAAGCCCACAGCAAGTAAGCAGGATTGGAATTTAAGCTGAGTGGCCCAAAGCCCCGGCTCCCAAGGATGCAACTGAAGCAGAGAACAGAAACTTTTTTAGGAATTTCCACACATGTATAGCTTGTGCTTACCTCTTCGCTTCTTCTTTCTGCTGCTCCTTCCAACTACTCTCCATGTAACGTAAGGCATAATCACTTTCATCTTTGTATCTGGTAAGAAAAAATTGAAGTTGTTAGGAAAAAATTTAAAAAACCAATTTTCTAAAAGAACTTGCATCTTCTGGTTTTTAAAACCAGCATTTTTATAACTAAACCAAACATACATTTAGGATTATTCCTCCTTTAATACTTCCAGAAGGCAACTATTCCTGAATTAAATGAAAGTACCAATCCAATAATGTTTGCTCAACCCACTCACCTCTATTTACATGAAAGTTTATATATTAAAATCACAAAAGCACAATTAATATCATTTGAGCTTCATGGATTCAGAACAGAGACTGAAACAGACAGGATAACGGCTTGACCAAAAACATATTGCTATCTTATACCGTAACTAAGATCAGGTTTTTAAATCTGATTTTTAATCCAGTTCTTCTACTGAATTTTTTTAAAGACCTTTTTTTTACTGTTGTGCTCAGTGACTCAGTCATGTCCAACTCTGAGACCCCATGGACTATAGTTCACCAGGCTCCTCTGTCCATGGGACTTCCCAGGCAAGAATACTGGAGTGGGTGGCTATTTCCTACTCCAGGGGATCTTCCCAACCCAGGGACCAAACTCAGTCTCCTGCATTGTATATCTGTGATATCAAAGGAGAAAGCAAGTGCTGACTAATTTACACGTACAGTTGGCCCTCGAACAACATGGGTGTGAACTACACGGGTCCTCTCTACACAAAGATTTCTTTTTCGTGCTACAATAGGACACAGTCCATAACTGGCTGCCTCTGTTCCCATGGAACTGCAGAGAGGGAGGAACCTGTATATAGAGGAATCATTTATACTGAGGGCTGACTCTAAGTTACACGTGGATTTCCCCCAGCCCTCACACTGGTGCGGGTCAACTGTATGTTACCTCACTGAGTCCTCCCATAAGTCATTTAAAAAATAACTAACTCAAGTTTACCCAGCTAGTAAGCTGTGGAACTTTAATCTAAACCCTGATTTTTCTGCTCCATCAGTGCTTCTCAATCTTCAAGGTTGCTGTGAACCACTGGGGAATGTTATAAAGCTAGACTGGATTTAGATCTAAGCTGGGGTCTGCAAGCCTGCATTTCTAACAAGTTCCCAAGTGATATCAATGCTGTTGGTTCCATGGTGCTGTTCAGGCACACTTCTGTGTAGCTTTTACACCAAAGAAAACCAGGTGTCAGATCAGGCTTTCAACACAGCTCTGTGGATGGTTTTCTGATTTCAAAGCCAATCCATTTCTACTACACCAAGCTGCTTCACTCTTATCAAATATACATCTTATAAGGACAACAGTTAAATAGGGATACTTATTGGCCCTTATACAAGTAACTACATAATTTTGCATTAATTCTTAAATACTACGTGCCAAAAAAGTAAATCTAAACAATTGAAGAATTCCTAATTAAGAACTGCATTCAATGCCTCTACTATTAATGTTTATTTTCCCCCCATAGAATGGATTATTCAAAATAAAAGTGTGTGTGTGTGTGTGTGTGTGTGTATATAAATCTTCTTTATCCTTACTTTTTTCGGTCATAGCCAAAGATTTCTCGAATGTGCTTGGATATTTCTTCCTGAGGTTCTCCTTCATCTTCAATAAAGTCTTCCATTTCAGAGTCATATTCTTCATCATCATCTTCCTCCTCTTCATATTCTCGCTGCCTTTTGTAACCACTAGGAAAGGGAAGCCTTTGAGGACCTAAGAATAGAAAGGCCATTATTTTAAAGAGTATTAAAATTTAATAGTCCCAACAAAATCCTATGCAAGCTGAGATACTAAGAACTCACTAGGATGGCAGCCTCAAAACCCAGAGCCAGCAAGCTGGCCCCCAGTGTGAGCTCACTACTACAATCCTCTCTGCTGCTTCATGGTACTCAACAAGGAACAGAATTTCTGTCTGTCCCAAGGCTTACCAGAACTGTTACATTTTTTCTAGCTTAATAGTTTCTATTCTTTTGGATTTAAAAGACTAGTAAAATTTCTTAAAAAGAAAAATAAAAGTTACAAATCACTGAAGGAACACAAATTTTAATCTTGCCAAAAAAAGACACCAAAGGTAACAGTCTACTATTTATTATCATAATTCCATTAGGGTTTTTAAAAGTCCCGTGAAGTATGAAAGATTCTCAGAAATGGATCATTGTTCGAACTGAGCAAGTCTGACTAATAGGAAAAACTCACCATACCAACATATTTTTGTCATTTTGCCAAAAGACTGATTAAAAATTTTGCAAAAGACAAGCACTGATCAATAGACTAGTATCTGGGAACAAATGCTTTCTAGTCCTTGATTATAGACACTCTCTCTGTTGTTCCACAGTTGTTTTTTATATGCATGGCTTGTCTCCTTAGCTCAGAGCTCCTTAACTTCAGCACTCTGACATTTTGGGCCAGCTGTTTGTTGGTTGTGAAGCTGTCCCGTACGATGAAAGGTAACAGCATCCATGGCCTTCATCTACTAGATGGCAATAGCATCCCATCCCCACTTATGTCAATCAAAAATGTCTCCAGATGTTGCCAAATGTTCACCGGGGATCAAAACTGTCCTTGGTTGAGAACCAATGTTTTGACGGAAGCAGAAAGTTTAACACATGGAATATCATCTTTTGTTTCTTTTTATATTCTCCATGGTGTCTTAACAGGTGCTTCAACAAATCCTTACTACCATGTAGAAACGATGACTACCATGTAGAAATGATGAGAAATGATAACTCATCATTAACAATGATGAGTTAATAGGTGCCAACAATGATCCCATACCTTGGGATAGTAGATTCCTAAAGGACTGGTAGCTAGGGCCACTATGAGGAGCAGAAACACAAGGACAGTCTGAAATCATTCCTGGCATATCATGGGTGCCCAACAATATTTGATGGAATCAGTTATGTACCAAGAGGCTTCAAGCTTATAAATACACTCTAGTCCCTGAAGATAGGCACTTACAGTCTTCATGAAGAGGTAAAGATGAATTCATTCACTGAACCACAAAAGGCATATACAATATATATACTTCTCCTATCGTATAAATTCCATAGCTAAGCTTATTGAACTTGGAGACATTACAGAGGTGGTCAAACAGGGCCCCGGATAAATCTCTTCCTAAAGACTTTTCCAAGCCATAGTTACTAAAGGAACTCTCTGGCACAGGACAGACAAAACATCAGGATTCCATCAACACAAGAATACACTTAAAAGCACATAGAAGAGTTCCCAGCATCTGGTTCTATAAAACAATGCATTCTTTCCAATTTCCTAGTGACAAATAAATACTTTCAGGATAAGGGGAAATCTTACCATGGGCTGATCTGTAGCCAGCTAAGGATGGCTTCATTCCATTCATCTGTCCATTGCTGGGCCGGCTGATTATATTCTTGGAAGAAATTGTTTCTGAGACAACAGTGCATTTGGGCTTCAGAGGGGGACCTGAGGTATTAACTGTTCGCCCAGGTCCCAAGCTGCTCCCTGGTCTACCAGGGCCTGAACTGCTGACAGGTCGTCCAGCTGGAGCTGGGCCACTGACCGACCGGCCAGGGCCACTGACCAATCGCCCAGGGGGGCCTGAGCCACTCACTGGTCGTCGAAGTTCATGTGGACTGCTTACAGGCCGCCCAGGGCCCCCAGAGCTGCCCACGGGTCGCCCAGAACCACCGGAGCCACTGACAGGCCGCCCAGGGCCCCCTGAGCTGCTTGCAGGTCGACCAAGGCCACTTGTACCACTGACTGTCCGTCTTGGGGGACTGAAGTCACTGGCTGGCTTCCTGTTCCCACTGACTGATCGCTCGGGTCCTGAGTTGGAGCTGCCATTCTGCCGCTTGGGCACGGGGCCAGGACTAACCGTGGGCCGGGCAGGCCCTGTGCTAGGCCGCCCAGGGGCTGGGCTGGAGCTGCTGCCTGGCGGCCGGACACCTGGACTCTTGGCCTTATTGTGTGGGGTGGCCATGGGTCCAGGCCTGGAATGGCTAGGATGGGGAGGAGATTTTTTGGCTTTGTGCTCGGGGGCAGATTTCTGAGGCCCTTTAGCAGAAGTCTTTGGGACACTTGGTGAATAGGTGCTGGGGTGGGGCTTTCCAGCCCCATTGAAAACAGGTCTATCACGGCCCTCATGAAGTGAGGGTTGGGAGCAACTGCCAGGGGCTCCTTTGGTCCTCTCCCCCGGCACGGATTTGGACGAAGACAAATGCAAGCGCTTTTCATCAGCTGTGCTGGGTCTGGGTCTCTTCTCAGGATGAGGAAGGACAGTACCCTTGGAAGCAGGATGCATGTCTCCAGAGCCTCTGCTAAGCTTTGTGCCCACACTTTCTTTCTGAGAGGGTACTCTTCTGGTTGGTGGTGGCCTGGCATCTGTCTCAGGTGTCCTTTTCCTCCGCTTTCGTTCAAGGAATTCCCGCTCCCTAAGTTCTTCTGCAGTCAAGGGCCGCTCTTCTGTCTTCTTCACTACCTTTATCTCCACCGGCTCGTACTGCTTTTTCTCAGCCAGCCTGAGCAGATCACTGAAGTTCATGACTGGTGGGGCACTTTTGAGGGGGACCTTTGGTTTGCTTTCAACTTTGGGAGGTTCCTGCTCTTCCTCGTACTCCTGCTCTGACTCTGCTTGATTGTATTCTAAGAACTCATCCTCTTCTTCCACCTCGTACTCTTGGTCTGCTCCCTGGCGAGTGTGACTTTGCATTGCCTGCCTCTTCTTTGACTTTTCCTCAACAGGAATCCCATTGTAACCGTGGAAATTATCCTTTGTCCTCTTGGCCATAGCTCTTGCCTTCTTGTCATGTTTCAGCTCAATTCGCTTTTTCACTAGCTCTTCTTTTCTCCTCTTCTCTTCTAAGGCTGAAAAAGACAAAACAACACATTATTTCAAGGTCTTGATAAAACTATGTTTATCTGAAATCAGTAGGTGGCCGAAACCAAGCGACATTCAAGTTACGGTTTGTACAAATTTGAAAACTTCTAAGAATCAAATGAGGAAGTCATTCAAACAAGTATCAGTGAGTCATCTATACACAATGAGTGGGTCACATATGGGTTTTTCTATATGACTAAGCAAGGGAGAGTCTTCGCTTTTAGCTTTAAATACAGAAAATAGTTCATACTAAATAAATATACCAAGTTAAGAGAATATTAGTACCCACTTAGTAGTTGTCACTAATTATGAATCAATGGATACTCAAACTTACCGAATCAGTTTCCTTGTCATCTGCATGAAGCAAAACTACTGCTTGAGTTTACTGGTTTTCAATCCCTATTTTAACCTTTTAGATAGTACTCTGTATATTTTTAAAAAATTAAAATACAAAGTAGGTAGAAACAGGTTCAAAACTAAGGTTAAGAGGGTGTCTCCTGTGGTCCGGTGGTTAGGACTCAGCACTTTGACTGCTGGGGTCCCAGGTTTAATTCCTGGTTGGGAAACTAAGATCCCACAGGCTATACAGTACAGGCAAAAAAAAAAAGAAAGAAAGGAAAAAGCTCACAAAAATAAACAAACAAAAAACAACCGTCGTGGGAAAGAATGTTTTAAATGTCTGTATGTGTATAACTGAGTCACTTTGCTGTACTGCAGAGATTGATACAACACTGTCAATCAACGACACCTCAATTACAAGTACCAAAAAAACCACCAAGGTAAAAGAATGGAATTCTTACTGGAGTTGCTCATATCATCAATTAGAAGATACGGTCACTATTCCCAAAAAGGTTTTAATTTAAGAGGAAATAAAAGATAATATCTATACAAATGACCAACATAAGAAAACATGTAATGCTACAAATACAGCTGACTCAGACACATACACAACAAATCCATTAGCCTCTTAACGATACTACAAGCATCCCTTGGTTAGTTACAAGCCAGTTGTGAAGACAGAAGACTTTAAAACTGAGAATAAGGCTATAGAGTCATACCTTTTCGTCTGAGCTCCTCTTCTTTCCTTCTGAGAAAAGCCTGGACAGCTGCTGACTGGACACCCTTAACTTTGGGGTCTTTTTTGGGAGGTCCCACTGCCAAACTGTATCTTTTCTGAAAACAAAAACAGAGTAAAAGTTACACACAATTAATTTTGAAACAATAGAGAGGTCTAAATGTTGAATTAAAAAACCTATTCTGAATAATTAAGAGACCACATAACCCCCATGAAAGCTGAGCTATGAAATTTCAGGCTAAAAATGATTATATATGCCTGTTTCCAGGTATAGAGTTTCTTTAAACATCTCCAACAATACATAAATGAACAACTCATAGAAACACAATTTTCAAGTTATTTTCCCAAAAAGGTACCTGGACTGGGGGAATTGAAAAAAAATCACCACTAAAACAGACTGTTCTAGAATTCTGATTTAAAAGAGTATCCTTCTTCAGAATTTTCCAAGTCCATGGCAGAAAATACTATCGCAACTATTTTCCTCCTGAGTACCCAACTCCAGGTGGTTTTCATAGCTGCTACGTTGGTTATTTTGTCTACAACGTTAAATCCCGAGATCCTACTTTGGTCTCAGGCAAAGTAGATAGCAAACCATAGCTAAAAGGCATTTCAAAGAAACTGAAGCAGCAAGAAGGGTCCAAGTCTCTGTAACGTTTAAGTGTAGCTCTATGTTCATTAAATATTAATTCACCACACAAATCCTTTCAGACAAGTTTCCAGATCACCCAAAAAGTACTAACATCATCCTGGAACGGATGGTATTTCTCTGGTCTTTGATTTTTATGCAATTGCACTAGGAAATGACTAAAACTAGAATAACGCTAATTTAAACCATAAAAGGAAAAATATTTTCATTTTATAACTATCATTAGAGAAGTGTAATTAAACAGAGCTAATAACTCAGACCAGGATGATTAATCTCTAGGACCATTTCACGTTAAACTTACAGGCTAGGAAATAAGAATTTTTTAATGCCCTTCTTTCATCTTAGGCAGATGACATGATGACATTTTTATCCACTCAACCTTGTTGCTGTACTACTTTAAAAAGAAACGTTAACCTATGAGAACAAATTGAGCTACTAAGGAACCAAAAAAGTGACTCTCAAAATGTGTATGAAATTCCTGGAGGAAAGCCAAAGGACTCCTGCTTACTATACAGCTGCCAAACAGAAGGCATCTTGAAACAGGCTGGAAGTTCCAGCTAAGTTAGTCTACCCATGAAGCAGCTGGCCAAGAAAGATGGCCCTAATCCAACCTGAAAATCCTGCGTGATGGCAATGCTTGAGACCTGACACATCCCTCACACAGAGAAATCCCAACAGAGCATCCAGATTCCTTTCCCAGTCACCCTGGCTGCCACAGTAAAATTCTTTAACAAGTCCCTATCTTTGTAAATTTAGTTGCAGGCCCTTTCCATAGTGGATTGGGGCCCAATGTTTAAAGGAGAAAATGAGAGGGAAAGGAAGATAGGAGAAAGAGAATACTGCTTACCTAATTATATAGACATAAAATCTGTCGTGGTTACAAGAACCTCAAACATAGGTCTTATCCATAGGAAATGCACATTTTCTTAACAGAAGGGCTACTGTGAAGATGATTCAAGTTGTATAAGACACATAAACGCGTAAGCAGAAGCACACACTCACATCAGGTAAATATATGAGAAGGGTGCATTTGTGTTGCCAAAGCTCCAAATATTTCTCTCCCTGCCAACTATATAGCCCAGATTCACCTGCCAAATCGAAGCTTAATACAGGGCTCCCCTGCCCCCAAATACCAATCTTTATTATTTAAAATAGGATCAGTTTGTTATCTAGGTATTAAAACAGCAAGTGAGCACTTCCTAATTTGATTTCAGGGTCGATATCTTTCCTCCTAACCTGGCACTTAAATAGGTAGCTAATGGGTTATGTATTCTTGACTAAATACAGACACCAAAAGAGAAAAATAGTGTCAATGGGATATAGTTTAATACCATGTTTAGTAAGCTTCAGTCACTCCCATACCACTGTCATGATTTTTGCCCTTTTAGTACGCCAACTGTAATACTATTTACTAAATTTAAGAAAATATGTAGCTTGAACACCATGACTTATTATTGCACCTTTACCTCAAGCAATAATACTCATGAAATGACAGGCCTGAAAGGCTAGTTATATTTTCCCAAATTCTATACAAATATATAATTTTAAAAATATGCATCTATGTGAATAAAAAGCATTTATAAATCACCTAAAGTCATGGTGAGAGCCAGAGCTACGTGTGCTGCGCTCTGGGAAACACCAACTGAGGGGCATAAGCACAGGGAAGGTGGAACACACACAAGGGAGGGCTCGGGAACTCGACTCACTCAGAAAAGAATCGAAAAGGCTACACTTAGCGCTTTTCAAAGCATACACCTATTTTCATCAATTCACATGCCGATTTCAAACTCAGCTTTGTTTAAAAAAAGACCTCCAATCCTTAAGGATACTTACTAAGCTGGCCTCATGTTTAACTCAACAATTTTGCTATCCTTGTCCCATCCCTATGATGGAGAATGAATTCAACAAATCTATAAAATGTCTTTATTTTGTGGGTCTGCTGGGAAACAATTTAAGTAGGACAAGGTCCTACTTGATGAGGCCTGATCTTATTTACTGACTAGAGCTGAGTCATAATTAATAGTTTCTTACATCCTCTGTAGCTTGATGCACTCAAAGGCAGATACCAGAAGAATATTAAAATATTCTCTTAAGCAAAATTTAGATCAAAACGTAGAAATTTGGGGCAGGAACAAAAAGGGGGGCTAGGCCTCCAGAGATAGTGATCTTTTTAAAAACATTTTTAATGAGATATAATTCACAAACCATAAAATCCACCCATTTAGTGTGTACTAGTATATTCCCAGAGTTGTACAACCATCACCACTATTTCCAGAGCATTTTCATCTTCCCCAAAAGAAATCCCTTACCCTCCAGCAGTCATTCCCCATTCCCCTCACTTATGGCCCTGGCAGCCACTAACCTTTCTGCTTCTGTGGATTTGCCAATTCTGACACTTCATATAAATGAAATCATGCACCCAGTGTACACACACAGTGATTGATAATGCATCATAAAATAAAATCGAGAAGACACAGATACTATATAGATAAGTGATTATTCAAAGTATCTAAGATTTTCCAATTCAAAAAACTTTTTTTTCTCCATCTGCTCCGGAATTTCTATGAGAAACTCTATCCCATTAGACTTTACTGGACACTGAGAAGTGTCATCAAAAAACCAATAGAGTTACTGCCCAAGGCTTTATTGGGCTAGAGTAGAGAGATGGATTCAGGTTTTATAGATGGCAAACCTTATTCACATCCCATTCCTGACAGACTACAGTATTAACTCCAGCCTGAGTTTCCAGCCTGTCCTACAAATTTCAGACAGGCCAGTCCCCACAATTATGTGAGCCAATTTCCTAAAACAGATCCTACTGGTTCTGTCTTTCTGCGGAACCCTAACTGCTGCAGTGGTCTTCTGTATTAATATCTTACCACTTTCACTTAATGTTTTAAAGGTTCATGCTGTAACATGTCAGTACTTCACACCTTAATGTTTTAAAGGTTCATGCTGTAACATGTCAGTACTTCACACCTTTTCTGGATGAATGTTTCATTATATGGATTATACCACATTTATCTAACCATCAGTTAATGGATATGTAGACTGTTTCTACTTTTTGGCTATTATGAATAATGCTCTGTGAACATAAGTACACAAAGTTTTCTGTGAATGAATGCTTTCCTTTCTCTTGGGTCTATCACTATAGACCTTCTTAACATTGAACTGGCTAGACTTTTGAAAAAGGGGTTGCAGTCAGACCCTGGTATTAGAAGATTTGCTGTAATAGAACATTTTATTAGACAGTTCCTTTCCCCCTCAGGGGGCACCCAGCAGAGAACCACATTTTTAAAAGAAAGCTTCAGGCTGGGATTACACTGTATGCCATTTAATAAGGCAGGAGAACTATTTGGCACTTTCTCTCACATCAGACGGTCACATTTAGCTCTAGCGGCAAAACATCAAGATGTACCCATCAATTCTGAATCTGATTCAAGGCACCAGGCTGCTTCATTGTTTGAGCTCCATGAAAAGCAGCTGGACAAGAGTTTCTTTTATCCTAAGTGTATCCATTTTATTACACTGCAGGCCAACTCAGTCATTCTGCTGGGCCCCAGTGAATGATCCACAACAGAGAAGCTTATGCCATCTAAATACAGTATCAGAGATTTTGCCAAGATTTGTAATTCTGAAGCCAAGAGACCTAGAAAACATTAAGTCACTTTAAACATATGTGTTCCTTGCACTGAAACCATACTGTCACAGTCAGATTAAGAAAATCAGGAGCTTTCAGTGTGGAAATACATATTCACCAAATATGTTATTAATACATAGGAATCAACAGCAATTCCTTCTTGAAAGTTCTTCTTTACTCAGGAGATAATATATTGTTGTAACTGTAGAAAATAAATATTCTGATGATTTTATATAAATTAGAGATTTATCACTGGTTAGAAATCAGAGTTAGAAATATTCAAAGGATATATCCTTAACTTTAATGACTGACTATGCAACTTCTATAATCCTCTCAATACATCATAGTCAAGGAATGAATGCAAGCCTAGAAAACCACTGATATGCATTAGACTTGCTTAGCTGGGTGGCTGAGAGTGAAAATAAAACCACCAAAAAACATGCTATTCAAGACTGATAAGAGGTCAAATATAAATCTTACTGTTTATAAAACTATACCTGATTATAAAGTACAGTATCAGATAGATACCTCAGAGTCTCTAGTTCAACCTCATGCTAGAAATGGCCCAAAAAGGACAACTGTATATTTACTGGCTATCACTCATACCATTTGTAGCAAAGACTGAATTAGAATCTAGATCTCTTGACTCTGGGGCAAAAGTTTTCCCATTACAGTGTGCCTCACTTCTAACTTAATCCCAACACTTTCATCTCTAGCTCTAACCTCATTCTTAAATGCCCTTCTTAACTTCCACCTGCTTCCTAGACAATGCCATTGCGCCAAACAAGTCCATCACCGAGCCTTCCCTCAACCTCAGACTCTATTTCTGTTAACCATGCTGGCACTCTCCCAAACAGCCTGTAAATCTCTATTCACCAGTTTTCAAATGCTGTTAGTTTAGCCTTTAGATTTCTCCCCCATCAGACTTTACTGTACAGTGAGAAGTGTCATCAAAAAAACAACAGGGTTACTGCCTAAGGCTCTATTAGGTTGGAGTTGGGGGTAGGGAACTAGATGGATTCAGGCTTTATAGTGACAACCTTCCTCAGCACCCCATTTCCAAAAGCCTCTCCTCATTCACAGAGAAGGCAGTGGCATCCCACGCCAGTACTCTTTCCTGGACAATCCCATGGACGGAGGAGCCTGGCAGGCTGCAGTCCATGGGGTTGCTAAGAGCTGGACACGACTGGACACGTCTTCACTTTCACTTTTCACTTTCCTGCATTGGAGAAGGAAATGGCAACCCACTCCAGTGTTCTTGCCTGGAGACTCCCAGGGACGGGGGAGCCTGGTGGGCTGCCGTCTATGGGGTCGCAGAGTCGGACACGACTGAAGCGACTTAGCAGCAGCAGCAGCAGCTCCTCATTCAACACAGGGTCATGATTAAGAACGAACTCTGGAGCCACTTGGCCTGGACTAGATTCTCTGCTCTGCCATTACTAGCCCTGCCACTTATCAGCTGTGTGACTTTGGAAACATTTCTTCGTCTCCCTGAACTTCAGTTCCCTTATCTGTAAAACAACCTTCCTTATATGGTTATTATGATGATTAAATTAATTAATATACAGAAAGTGCTTAGAACAGTGCCTGGCACAAAGTAAGCACTATATATGCTAATTGCTGTTGTTATTATCCTTACTATTCATAAAGAGATTGCCTAGGTAGTGATGGGAAAGAGAACAGAATCTCCATGTGGTAATATTACAGATGGACAAAAAGCAGATGAAAAGATGCTCAACAGCACTAATTATTAGAGAAATGCAAATCAAAACTACAATCAGGTATCACCTCATAGCAGTCAGAGTGGCCATAATCAAAAAAATCTATAAACAATAAATATTGGAGAGGGTATGGAAAAAGGGGAACCCTGCTATACTGCTGAGAAGAAAGTAAATTAGTAAAATCATTATAAAGAACAGTATGGAGGTTCCTTAAAAAACTAAATACAGAACTACCTACCATATGATCCAGCAATCCCACTCCTGGGCATATATCCAGAGAAAACCATTATTCAAAAGATAACACGCAAAAAAAAAAAAAAACAAAAAAAAAAACATGCACCCAATGTTCACTGCAGCACTATTTACAACAGCCAAGATATATGGAAGCAACCTAAGTATCCACTGACAGAGAAGTGGATAAAGGAGGATTGGATACAATGGAATATTACTTAGCCATAGAAAGAATGAAATAATGCCACTTGCAGCAACATGGATGGACCTAGAGATTATCATACTGAGTGAAGTCAAGACAGAGAAAGACGAATATATAATAAATGTGGAATCTAAGAAAATGGTACAAATGAACTTATTTACAAAACAGAAATAGTCACAGATGTAGCAAACAGACTGATGGTAACCAGAGGAAATAGGGAGGAGGGATAAACTGGATGATTGGGGCTGAAATACATACACTACTATACATAAAATTGATAATAAGGACCTACTGTATTGCACAGGCTTTCCTGGAGGCTCAGACTTTACAGAATTCACCTGCAATGCAGGAGACCCAGCTTCAATCTATAGGTCAGGAAGATCCCCTGGAGAAGGGAATGGCAACCCACTCCAGTATTTCTGTCTGGAGAACCTCATGAAAAGAGGAGCCTGGAAGGCTATAGTCCATGGGGTCGAAGAAAGTGGAACATGACTGAGTGACTAAGCATGCACGTATAGCAGAGGGAACGGTACTCAGCACTCTGTAATTACCTATATGGGAAAAGAATCTAAAAAAGAGTGGACATGTGTATATGGAAAACTGACTCATTTTACTGTTCACCTCAAGGGTCCATAGCCCCCCAAATCCTTATGTCTAATACGTATGAAGGGTTCCTCTTTACTTTTTGATTTGAGGGTCACACCACAGTTACAGTATCTTGCCTGGGACAGTTTTTAGTCTGACTGTGAGAAAAACCATGTATCTTGCCTTGTGCACCACAAGACATCAATTATAGTTACCTGAAACCCGCTTTTGCTAGAGGAACTCAGTGAGAAAAATATTAAGGGTAAAGTTACCAAAAATATCTTTTCTCCTTTATACATTAACAGAGCTAATAACAGTGACTGGTTACATCACCTTGATCAGCTGTGGTTTTTTTTGTATTCAGTTTTCCACTGGGAAAAGACAGCATGCCTGGTATTTCTAGGAATGATGCAATCCTCCTTTTGTTTTAACCAAAATCTTTTACAGATAACTATTTCTCTTAAAAAGAAACAATATGAAAGAAAGCTGTCCCAAATGGGAACAGTTCACTGCTTTTCAAATCAGATATAGTAGACATTTTTTAAAATAAAGAGCTCAAAGTGGCTGTACAGGTGTTTCAGATTTTAGCTTCCCTTGGATTTTAGTCTAATCAATGCCAGTGTATTTCCTTTCTGTTAACAAAGCTGTGACAAAGGAACGTGACTGAAATTGAAAGTCAGCTATGATAGGATCCAAATGGAAGGTGGGGACAAAGATGGCTAAAAGAGAAATACAAACCAAGCCCTAGAGAAGGATGGATAACTCAATATTTATGAAGCATTGTGTGTGTGTGTGTGTGTCTGTGTGTGTGTGTGTGGTGTGTATCCATGTGTGGAGTGTGTGGGGGTGTGTGTCTGTGTGTGTGTTGTGTGTATATTGTAATGCTGTTTGACTTGGATGTTGGTTTATAAGGATAGTTGCTTTGTAGTACTCTCACACTGTGCAATATGTTAGATTTCAGAACTCATAGTGTGAGCTAAAAGGTTTCAACTTAAAATAATCAGATGACTTGAGTTAAATATCATAGATGAAATTTAATACAATCTTGCTCTATTCCTCAATAATTTTTGTGTTTTACTTTCATCTGAAGTAAAAAGATAAGATTATAGTGCTGATAACTAAAGGAAACCTTCAGGCTTACTAGCTTTTGGGGTGAGTGGGAGGGAAAAACATACTTTCACGAAGTATATGCCTATATTCATCTATTAAATTTTAAATGACCTCACCAATTTACCCATTTCCCTTTTTGCTTCCAATCTTTGTTATTCCAATCATAGATCAATAATGTATATATTCTGAAATACAGACATATTTTGAAATCTCCCACTCTAGAAATATGTACTTCTCTGTCAGCAATTTTTGGTTTTTAGAATAAGAAACAACTAACTTGGTTTTGATTCTTCCACAGGATAGTCCTGGGCATCAGAGCAAGTATTATCTTTCTTTGACCTCCACTGTTGAGGAGGATGTAGAAAGAAATATGTACCTAATTATGCAAAGATGAATGCTACTAGGTCCAATATTGACTTGTCTAGGAAATTTACAGAGACAGAAAATAAGGTTTCATAACTTCAAGATCGTTCAGAGTATTTCAGATGGGATGTGAATACATATAATAAAGTGATCAATATCGGTTTTATTAATCAGTTATTTTTACATCACTATCTTCAAAAGAGTAAAAGAGTGAGCACAGGAGAGGGAAAAAATATTGCAAATATACAAAAATCTAAGAAACGCAGAACACATCATGAGAGCTCAAAATGATCTAGTTGAACTGACTTAAAAAGAGCGCCGTTTGAGCTCCACACCTCAACGCTCAAACCGCAGGTATCACAATGCAATTTATCGGTTTACAGCTGGGGTTGTGGTACCATCTGAGGATCTCGAAATGATTAGTTTATGCAAAACAGCTACACCCTCGCAAACGAGGCCCTCACCACCACTACCGCATTTAGATAGTAAAGTTTTACACCGCTCAGCGAATTAGCAAACCTCACAGAGTAACTGGGACCTAGATATCAAACAACAAATCTGGAAGACCACAAGTAAACGGAAGCTGAAACTATTTCTCTCATCCTGTTGGCCAAAATTTCGTGGAATCCACTCACACTCCCTTCCTAGGGAGGTGATAATTCAATCACCTGGCTGGCTGAGTGGGTGGGGAACACAAGTCAAAAAATCTTGTTCGGGAAATCACAAAACGTTTGACTCAAAGATCAGCGGAAAATCAGCTCAAAAGCTATCAGGCCAAGCCCCTAATATTCCTGAACTCCCCAAGCTCTGGGCTGAAGTTTATGCCGAAACTAGAAACTACGAGCATTAGACTCCACTACGTGCCAGGCACAGCTCTACTCACCAGCTTTCACGCAACTCTAAAATACCCTAAACTCAAAGTTCAAGTTGTAGGGGTAACTAAGCCGAAACAAACCAAATCAGCTTGTCAGCACGCTCCCGCTTGCTTATCTCAAGCCCCCAGTAACTTCAACCCCCAGTACCCAGAAGTACATGTCCAAAAGGAAAAAGAAAAAAAAAAAAAAAAAAAAACGGAGTCCAGATCTTTCTTCTCCTGGAGCCGATGTGCTGATTCCTGGAAGTTTCAAGGACCACACACTCGGAACTTGAAGACCAGGATCTCCTAAAGTCACCCCCCGGCTGGTACTTACCGGCACGTTGTTGACACCCTGCGCTTTGGAAGCTATCAGGAGAATTTCCCTAAAGTCCATTCTGGTCGAAGAGGAGTACTGGGCCAGCCTCTCGGAGAGGAGGGAAAGCGCGCCTTACCGAGGCGACCAGCAACAGCCTAATGATCTGCCTGGCCAGCCTCTCTCCCACCCCTCCTCTGCACGACCACTTCCGGCGCTTTCCAATGCCGTCTGCCCGCCCACTTTCCTCCAGAGGCCAGTATCCTTTCAGGCCCGCCGCTTCCCTCGCGAGTCTTTGGCGTAACTTCCGCTTTCAGGCTCGAGACACGTAGAAACGTGGTACGTGGCTGCTGGCGTCGGCTCGAAGGGGCGGGACTAAGCCCTTCCCGGACCAAGGAGACTCGATCTGTAAACTGGGGGGCGTGGCCAAGGAAAGAGCCGCTTCGCTGGAGGCGCTGGCGCGAGGCCTGTTTCCGTGCTCCGTGTGCGCTCTCGGGTGCGAGAGCTAGGGGTTGAGGCGTTCTCTGAGTGTTACGGTTGGACGCTCAGGTCCGAGAAGGCGGTACCTCAACAGCAGAACCGACAGGTCTCGAGCAGGGGGTTACAGTTAGGCGTTTGTAGGCGCTCGCCAGGCTGCGCAGATGCGAACAACACCGACTGGTCCCCTGTCCTGGGAACGCTAGACTCTTCGCATCCCGGCATAGGGTGTGTGCTTACCTCCTACACAGATGCACGCGTGTGATGTACAGAGGCATCCGCTTACTGCTTTTACTTCATTTTCGATAATAAGCCCCACGTAGGGCAGGCAGCTGTGCTTTGTGTAGTGGCTGAATGGAGAAATTTCTCACAGACCCAGCCTGGATATATTTGGTGCACTGATCAAAATGTACATATATGCCCCAATTCCACATTTGTTGGGAGTCCAGTCCTGGCTTCCTCTTAAGGGTTATTTGGGGTCTGTAAGGTCATTTCTAATTAGTGTAAAGTACACTAATTAGACAGACTGGCTGTGGTTAAGAATAGGCGGGAATCCACCGCAGCCAAGCCGTAGGGATCTTCCGGTGCGATGAAATTGCTCCAAAACTGGTTATACCGATGGCTGGGCTGTAGTTTTACTAATCATCGTACTCTGAAAACAAGTCAGTTTGACAGTGTAAATTATCTCAATAGGGGCTTCTCTGGTGGTGGTATATTCGTTAAAAGTATGACTGCCAATGCAGGGGACAGGGGTTGGATCCCTGGTCTAGGAAGATCCCACATGCCACTGAGAAACTGAGCCTGTGCTCTATAAACTGTGTTCCGCAACAAGCAATGAGAAACTTGCGCACCTGCAAGGAAGAGTAGCCCCTGCTCACTGCAACTATTGAAAGCCGGTGGGCAGCAATGAAGACTCAGAATAGCCATAAATAAATCTTTTAAAAAATCATCTCAATAAAGCTGCTTGAAAGTATTAGGCAAAGCGTCTCTATCTTCCTCTTCCAATCTAAGTTTTAAGACTGAGCTGTGCACTGTTTATAATAGCCAGGACATGGAAGCAACCTAGATGCCCATCAGCAGACGAATGGATGAGGAAGCTGTGGTACATATACACCATGGAATATTACTCAGCCATTAAAAAGAATTCATTTGAATCAGTTCTAATGAGATGGATGAAACTGGAGCCCATTATACAGAGCGAAGTAAGCCAGAAAGATAAAGACCATTACAGTATACTAACACATATATATGGAATTTAGAAAGATGGTAATGATAACCCTATATGCAAAACAGAAAAAGAGACTCCGATGTATAGAACAGACTTGTGGACTCTGGGAGAAGGCGAGGGTGGGATGTTTCAAGAGAACAGCATCGAAACACATATATTATCTAGGGTGAAACAGATCACCAGCCCAGGTTGGGTGCATGAGACAAGTGCTCGGGCCTGGTGCACTGGGAAGACCCAGAGGGATCGGGTGGAGAGGGGGGTGGGAGGGGGGACTGGGATGGGGAATACATGTAAATCCATGGCTAATTCATTTCAATGTATGACAAAACCCACTGCAATGATGTAAAGTAATTAGCCTCCAACTAATAAAAATAAATGAAAAAAAAAAAAAAAGACTGAGCTGTGGCCCTGATTACATTTCCCTGTTTAAGTTTGCCCAAAGAACAGAAGGAGATTAAATCTTTGTCCAATGGCAGAACTGTAGTTCGCAACGTTTTTACTCCATCTGGGAGTCCAGCATAGCCCACGGTAGCCTATGCCATCTTGTTGTTCAGTCGATAAGTCGTGTCTAACTCTTTGTGACCCCCATGGACTGCAGCGCAGCAGACTTCCTTGTCCTTCACCATCTCCCAGAGCTTGCTCAAACTCATATCCATCGAGTTGCTGATGCCATCCAACCATCTCATCCTCTGTCCCCCCTGCCCTGCCCATTTTTCTTCATGCTCTCAATCTTTCCCAGCATCAGGGTCTTTTCCAGTGAGTTGGCTCTTTGCATCAGGTCGCCAAAGTATTGCAACTTCATCATCAGTCCTTCCAATGACTGTTCATGGCTGATTTCCTTTTGGATTGACTGGTTTGATCTTGCAGTCCAAGGGACTCTCGAGTCGTCTCCAGTACCACGAATCAATTCTTCAGTGTTCAGCCTTCTTTATGGTCCAACTCTCACATCTCTACATGACTACTGGAAAAACCATACCTTTGACTATACTGACCTTCATCATATTTCCTTTCAAATACATATCAATCTGTTTTAAGTAGTTCACTTGCAGACGGTTAACTCTACAAGTATTTCAGCCTCATGGGATTGTGGCTTATAGGGAAGCTTGAGTGTAATATCAATATATTGAAAAAACTAACATGTCAGATTCCTCATCCATTAAAAGTTAAAACATAGATTTTAAAATTTTCTCCAAGTGGTTCTCTATTCAGTAGGCAGAGTCATCCTTCAATGGTTTCCCATTGTTCTTATGATAAAGAACAAAATCTTAGTCCTATCATGGCTTGAAAGGACTGCTATGATTTACCTGCACCCTCATCTTTAATGTCATCAGATAGATTCTTTCATTTTGTTAGAAGAACCAAGCTCTCTTCTATTCCAGGCCCCTTCCCTGCAATCCCATCTGCCTGGTATGTGACCTCTAACATTTGCTGGGCCAACTCCAACTCGTTCAACACTCAATAAGCTGATGGTAATGCATATCAGGGTTCAAGGGCCAGTTTTGTTGATTCCTAGGTATTGTATGAGGCAAGTGCTTAACCTCTCTCTGTACCTCAGTTTAATCTATGATAGTAAAGTAGCAATGACAGGATTGCTGTAAAATAATTCATGTAAGGACTGTAGATTAGTACCTGGCTGTTACGGGATATGTTGTGTGCCCCTGCCCCCAAAAATGTCATTGTTGTTGACAGAAATAAACAACAATCTATAATGGGAATGAGGAGACTCTTGAGAGTCCCTTGGACAGCAAAGAGATCCAACCAGTCCATCCTAAAGGAAATCAGTCCTGAATACTCATTGGAAGGACTGATGCTGAGGCTGAAACTCCAATACTTTGCCCACCTAATGCGAAGAACTGACTCACTGGAAAAGACCCTGATGCTGGGGAAGATTGAAGGCAGAAGGAGAAGGGGATGGCAGAGGATGAAATGGTTGGATGGCATCATCGGCTCGATGGACATCAGTTTGTGCAAGCTCCGGGAGTTGGTGATGGCCAGGGAGACCTGGCATGCTGCAGTCCATGGGGTTGCAAAGAGTTGGACACGACTGAGCAACTGAACTGAACTGAATAATGGGAATAGAAAAGAATTTTATTTGAGTCAAACTGAGGTTGATAGCCAAGGACAGTCTCCGCGGTAGTTCTGAGGAACTGTTCCAAAGAAACATGGCTTTTAGCATAGTTTTACAGCATGTCAGGACAATGAACATGAACCATCACAGGCCACATTCCTTCAAAGTTTCAAAGAAGGCAGATGAGCACGTATACAGCAAGTCGGCCTAGCTCTGGCGCCTGGGAAGGGAGCCTTATCATTAAAGGAGCACCAGCACTGATGTCCCAGGAGAGGAGCATTTATCTCTATCTTCAAAACAGACATTCTTTGCTTCTGGACAATGTACCCTTTTCTTGACTGGTTAGAGCAGATGTACAGTATAGGTTTAATAGGCCACAAAACAGGCTATTCTAGTTGCAATAAATAAGTTGACTTGAGTGTGCTAAGTCATTTCAGTCATGACCGACTCTCTGCACGCCTGACGGGCTTAGTTGCTCTGTGGCATGTGAGATCTTCCTGGATCAGGGATCGAACCCATGTCTCCTGCTTTGGCAAGCAGGTTCTTCACCACTGAGCCACCAGGGAAGCCCTTAGATAGGGTCCTTAAAATGATTTTTTTTCCTTTAGCCACTCCACACAGCTTGTAGGATCTTAGTTCTCTGATGAGGGATCCAACTTGTATCCCCTGCAGTGGAAGTGTAGAATCCTAACCACTGAACCAAGGAAATTCCTGCAGATAAGTCTTTAAAGACATAACTAAGTTAAAATGAGGTCATTAGAGTGGACCCTGATCCAATATGATGGTTGTCCTCATAAGAGGAAATATGGACACAAGTTCAGAGCGAAGACACAAGGAGAGATGATTATCCATAAGCCAAGGGGAAAGGCCTCAGAAGAAATCAGCCCTGCTGATCCCTTGATCTCAGACTTCTAGCTTCGAAAACTGTGAGAAAATAAATTTCTGCTGTTCATACCATGCAGCCTATGGTTCTTCATTACGGTAGCTCTAGCAAGTACACTGGCATATGGTGAGTATTCAATAAATGTCAGGTATTATTTCTCAAGAAAGCTTTCTGTGAACTAGTTCAGGACCAGTTTTGTAAATTCTTACAGCTCCCAGTATTTTCCTGTGTAGAACCTTTCACAGTTTGTAATTACATGTTTGTGTTTTTTCTTTCTGGCTGCTGACTGCCTCTCATGTTAGATTGTAAAATCCATGAGAACAGGGACCAAGCCTATTTTATCCATTATATTTGTGGCATCAGCACAGTTCCTTGCACATAAAAGCTGCGATAAACACTTTGGAATACATAGTTGAAAGTTGCTA